TGTGTGTGTCGGGGGTGTGGGCCCGGGGTCCCCGAGCCACGCCCCAGCACGGGACCCCTGGGAAGTGTCCTGGGCTGCCGTCTCCACGGACCCATCCTTGGCCGAACGAATACTCTGTTCGTGGCGTCCTCTGCCCTGTCCTCGGGGCACATCCGCATCCCCAGGCCCTGGCGTTGCTCAGGACGCGCCCGGCTTCGTTGGTTTCCCGGTGGGGTTGGCGCCGAGGGGTCTAAGCGGCCAGGAGTCTCACCGCCTACCCCCGGCCTCTCCCTGCAGGATGCTGGCCGCGTGTCCCGGTCCCCGACACCCTTCTGTGGGCCTCGTCAGCCGAGCCATCTTGCGTGGGACGTCGAGGGAGCCTTCTTAGGCAGACCTGCAGGTAAGGCCTGCCCCCCGGCCGTTGAGTTGGGGGGTGCACGGGCTCCGTTGGTGTGTGCTTCCTGCCCTCCTACATCTGACTTTATCTGGTTTCCACCGGGTGGAGCGGATCCGTCCACCGCCTTCTTGCAGATACTGACGGCTCCTCACGAAGTAGTGAAGCATAATAATACCTCCTTTGTAAACTGCTGTTTGAAATTCTGTTATTTTTAGATGATCCCTCGTTCCATAGGTCAATTCTGTTATTTTTCGACGGTCTCTTATTCTGTAAAATAACTTTGTTTGTTTGTTTTAGCTTAAATAATAGGAAAGATAAACTTAACTGTCTGACCTTGTAAGCTAGCCATCTAAAGGGGCTGATACGCTGATACTGATAATATTCTCATGCCAGGTGTTTGTTAGATATAACATGTACTCAAGGTTACAAGCTGTCTGCACAAATAACTTACACAAAGACCTGGACCAGTGGTTCTCAACCTTCTGGCCCTTTAAATACAGCTCCTCATGTGGTGACCCAACCATAAAATTATTTTCGTCGCTACTTCATCACTGTCATGTTGCTACTGTTATGAATCGTCATGTAAATATCTGATATGCAGGATGGTCTTCGGCGACCCCTGTGAAAGGGTCGTTCGACCGCCAAAGGGGTCGCGACCCACAGGTTGAGAACCGCTGACCTCGAAGGATATAAAAAGGAAATACTCCTTCCTTCCCTCAGAATTTGACAGAGATATTCTGCTCTGAACCCGCGCGTAGTAAAGATGACTCCTAACTAATTGGCTCATTAGGCGGCTCCTATCCAGTAGGAAGGTCTGATGTTCTGTCCGGCAGTGGTCGCTTCCACATCCCACCAAACCCGTCTCTGCTCCGTCCCAGGCGCCGGGGACCTCCCTCCTCTCGGCTCCCCTGGCTCAGCCTCCCCTCCCCACCCCAGCCAAGGGGACAGGACAGGGGTGGGGGCTCCCCAACCTCCACCGTGGGCAGGAGCTGGTTGTGACCGAGCGTGGCAGGCGTGGTTGGCGACTCTGAAAGGCTGTGCGTGTTTTCACATGGCCAGCTCCCTAGATGAGGAGCTGGGGGGACGAGGCAGAGGTCCCCTTGGGGTACCAGGGCCTTGGGACGAGAGGTGGGATCTCGGGGGCTTATTTGCTCTTTCTCTCCCTCTGCCCCGGGGGAAGAGCAGGAGCCCCGGGTCCCCTGGGCCCCTCGTCCATCCCGGTCCATCTCACCTCCCGCGTCTCATCACAGGCCTCGCCCTGGCCCCGGTCGTCACCCCAGGGCCGAGGGCGGGTAGAACAGCGAGGGCGATATTTTTCCTTCCTAAACTCCGAGGAACCTTCTCCCTGTGTGCTGACCGGCTAGATTGGGGACCCCAAAGCGGGATCCACGCTGGGGAACGAA